AGGAAGCCCATTTATATATAGTACCTATCCCCATCATTGGGCACGAAGCACGAAAAGGCGCATTTAATGCGCACGACCTCCTAAGCAAGGGAAAGCGACTAGAGGCAATGATGAAGTGGTTGGGGCTGTTGCAGAACCCTTCGTCTCTTTACGACGCGTGTCCTTGGTGTCAGAAGATCGAAGGCTGAGGGGCAATTGATGGGACATTTCCAAACACTCCAAGATAAGCAACACGTGTACTCGACGTCAAGGGAAATACTCTGCTGTGGTCACGACACGTGCTCATCGGGCCATGATCCCCCCTTTCCCCTGAGGAGGGTACTAGGCATAAGGACCTACGACGCCGGTATGCACGGGGGGGTTTGACATGTATTTCTCGATCGAATAGGGGGTACGTCGGTCCCTAACTGTACTAGGCCCTCGGCACCGAGGTGTATCCACTACATCGGTATTCTGTTCCTGCAAGGTTGTTGATAGACAGGACATCGGCCTAGGCTAGTCTAGATTAGCCATCATGACTTGGTCCTACCTGGATGGTGTTAGAATGCACAGGAAAGCAGAGGACTCAACCAAAGGGGAGCCGACGCGTGGCATACTGTGTCAGTTCATGGACAAAAAGACCATAACGCCCTTGCTAACACACGACTTGGGATCCCGAGCAATTAAGAAAGATGTCATTTCTCCTGAAAACCAGTATGCACGTTACCCACCTCTAATGATCACCTATTGACCACACTGACAACAATCATGAGTTTTAAAGGTATAAATACTCATCACAAAAAGGCAAGACGGTATGCAAAAAACCTTTTCTCAAACCTATACATAGTGTTTTCTTCTTCCCCTCTCTCAAGGAACTGATTTGATCGTCGGAGAGGATACGCCAAAAATACTCCTGGCGCCTTCCTAACTCACTTTTCTCTGTTTCAGGAATCTCCCTCAGCCTTACTAGACCGCTCCGACGACCCACAAAAGTTACTCATTACCGTTTCAGGCTACCACCGGTTCTCACAGTCTGTTCCAAACAGCAAGGTTGATCATTCGATTGACTGACTCGTGTTCACCACGGGAGAGATTTGTTCTCGTGTTTATATTGTGCAAGATCCTGCACGCACATTTGACAATATTTAAGTTACGAATACCACAAATCATAATGTGTAGAAAATTTAAAGATGATTTAGTGGTTAAGTTTGGTCACTAGTAACTTAAAAGTTTCAGATTCAATACTTTTTATATTCTCTAAGGGTCAGTCATTTTTGTTTCTTAAGAAACATGTTTTAAACTCCCTCGAGCTATGATGACTAGTATCCGAGCGGAGTAGTCGGCGCAAGTTAAATATCCTGTAGCAAAAAAATAAAAATAAATATGACCTAGTATTGTAGAATCTGAAGAAGGTAAGATATATGCAATTTTATTTCAGTATTCGGAGAAACTGTTATCGTGACTCTAATCCTTCACATACAAACTTAGAAAAAAGACCAAATGTGTAAATATCTCACCCTAGTGTATTCAAAAAGATTAATAACTTAATGTTTAGTAACTATTTAGGATGTAATCAAAATGAATGAGTGTCTTTTATACTGACGAAGATACTTGTTGAATTATTTTGATAATGTAGAAAAAAATAAGTGACTTTTTTTTATAAAAAAGTGTATGGAAATAAATATGGTTTATATCAAAATCAGTTGGTTGACTTATAATTCATTGTTATTATAATATCATATGAAACTATTATTTGTGACCATGATTTATAAGAAAAAAAAAGAGGAGATTATCTCAAATGAATTTTTATGATGACATGAATCACTTTTGAGTTTTTTTTCAAAAATAATTTTTTTCAATGTCATTGCATAAAAATTAAATTTAATAAATTTTTCACATAAAAATTTATCATTGATAATGACAATCGAATAAATCTATTGAATTAAATTTTTGTCTATGTTATTGTTGACCCTCTCAAGATAAAACTCTGATTCCGTCCCTGACAGTATTATTGTATGGTTAAAAACAATATTGAGAGAGATATCTTCGTATATAGCATTATTCTAATCAAGGATATGAAACTCATATATTCAAAACTGAGGAAAGATAGTACAATACATTAAATATAATTACTTTGCGGTAAAACAAATCGGATCCTTGGTACACTATTACTCTAATCACAACGAGATTCACATGAGACATTTTGGTGGGTGTTGCCTACTTTGACAACCAATCAGTTGACCCACCATTTGCCTGGAAATGTTAGAGTGGTATGATGGTGCTAGTTAGATGAGTTTATTTCACACTGTTGGATGAGCTTATTAAAGTCTGTTTTGTTTTATATTATAAAGTAGTATATAAAGTGCTTTGCATGTGAATATATTTAAATAATAATTTTTTATAAAAAAAAATAAATTAAATTGATAATTTATTTAAATAATAAATTGTATGTTGAATAATTAAATCTTATATTAATTATTACCAAATCTAATTATTGATCTACCCTGCTCTTGTTTGAGCACTTAATTTGTCATTTTTACGTATCTTCCCAACTTCTTTAGACATTTTCTCTTTTGGGTATGGTGAAATTTTATTGTAAAATTATCATTCTTAAGTATTTGTACATTTAAGTATATCATTATATTTTGTTTTATATCTAATAGATTGATAAAATTATAAACTATTATTTGTGTCATAATATTATGATATTGTTGCATATAAACAAAATTATATGTGACATATAATGGACAGTAAAATTTAATTTTTCAACAACATATACATATATATATATATGTATATTATAAGTGTACTACCAATAAATGTGTCTAAAAGAATTTAGAAGTGAAATATTACTATTGAAAGAGTCTAAAAGAACTTATAAGCTTAATAGCTAGAGAAAATATTAAAATTAGATGAAAGCAAATATGTGTGTATAATTGACTTTATAAAAATAATTAAGGATAAAATAAAAAATTAAAATTTTTTCACATATGTTCACATTTATAAGTAGTATAGATTAATATCTAACTATGGTACGGCCTTGAAAACTTTATGCTATTTTTCTCCCGCTAAAACTTGATATCTATAAAAATTGCTTATTTTATTACATCACTTTATTTTATTAATTTTGTTGGAACAAAATAGTTTGTAGGTATAAAAATTCGATTTTTGGATTGTTGAAACTAAATTAAAGCGAGTCTCACTCATCATTTTGAGTAAATTTTTTTTGGTTTGTATTCTATTTCGTGAGGAAAATTACAAAGTATATCCCAAGTTTGTTATAAGGATTGAGCTCCAAAGGGCGCCACAATTTTTGTGGACGGGAAATGACCTAGATAGACTTGGGTTTGATAACATGCGCGCTGCTGCCTTCTCCGGTCGGCCTTGGTGTTGGTGTGTGTGTGGATTGGGTTAGATCAAATCTTATATTTTTGGATAAAATTATTTTGCAAATAAGCCCTTAATTTCTTATCCAAATTTAATCTTTTGCTGTTTGTTGGAATTCAAAGTCACACTAGTTTGAATTTGAATTATTTCGTGGCTGTTCATCAATAGGCATCTCTGGTGCCTTTTCTAGATTGCATCCGATCAATGGTGCTTATTGTGAACAATCACCTTTGCATCTATAAATATGTCCATATTCAATCAAAATTAATAACTTGAACATTCTGTAATATATAAAGTCATTATTTTCAAACTCTTTATCATTAAAAGTGTCTATTTTCTGAGAGTATGAAATATAATTTATGGTTCGGTGTGCAAACAAATTGTAGTACTTCTTCTTATTACATGATCATTATATCATGAAAAACATGCCCTCAAGAGTACTTAAACATCGGAGGGGAGACAAAATTTGTACTAAAGATAAAGTGTCAAACACTTGATCAAAATTTTTTTAGTTACCATATTGTTGTGTATATTGGTCTTCACCTATTGTCGTGTCTACATTTTTAGGAAAATATTATTTAGACATCAAAAATTAACACTATTCGTTGACGTCAACGTTCACAATCAACGAAATCCAAGTAACATTAGTCGTGTATTTTTAAGGATGTGTCTATTTCATTTGCCAAACACGCTTTGAAAGACTTGACTATTACAATAATAAGAATACATTTTAAGATTCCCCATGTTGTCCATGGGAACACAAAAGTATTAGTGATTGCGTGATGAAACTCTATTGCTCCCAAGCCAGAAAAACCTTAAATCGATGACTACAAGAAGACTTGATGATGACAGAAATACGAAATTATTCTTCTTCTCAAGCAAAACTACGCAGATGCCACTGATAACTTGGGGATATTATAAGGTAGGTTTTTTTTTGTTAATTTTTGAAAAGTTGTTTCATATCAATCTTTCATACTCCATGATAATTGAACTTGAACAATGCTATAGAGACCTAATTTAATTAGATGCTATAACAAGATGACTTCATAAAAGATTGTCTTGACTTTCAGACATACACGATGGCAATTTGGGCAATTGTGAAAGAATCATGACATTTTTACATCTTTGAGCCAACCTCGATGTTTCCTTAGCCAGTCTATGGGACAAAACTTTCTACTTTTCAAACTGCACATAACCTTATAAATATACTCTCAATCTCAACACTTGCCCACCAAACTCTCTCTCTCTCTCTCTCTTCTCAGCTACCAAAATCCGAAGCCTCCCTCTCCTACTGAACTCTCAGAATCTTCTCTCTCAACCTCAACTTTCTCAGCTACCAAAATCTCCCAAGCCTGTTTCCCAGTGAACTGCTTGGGACTCAAATGGCCACCATGAAAGCAATCCAACCTCACCTCCCATCCACCATCGCCAACACCAATGGGCTTCGAAAAATTTATGCCAATCAAGAAACTGCAATGGATTTTCGCCCACATCAAAAAACTTCTAGCCGGTCCAATCGCCTAGCCTAATCACTCTCTCACCTCCCACATCTACATGTTGAGCCACCAACCCAAAAAAGGCTCCACTATACTAATGAGAATTTCAAAATTGAGGACAAGCACAACACTCCAGTTATGTCTCCTAAGGAAGACATATCGGAAAAATGGCGCGAAATTCAAGGTGGTTATGGTTGGGACAATCTTCTTGATCCTCTTCACCCGTGGCTTCGACGAGAGATTGTGAAATATGGAGAGTTCGCGCAAGCAACGTATGATGCCTTCGATTTTGATTCATTTTCGGAGTATTGTGGGAGTTGTAGATATAATGAAAATAGAATTTTTGATAAATTAGGCCTTAATAAGCATGGCTATAAGGTGACTAAGTACATTTATGCTATGTCACATACAGATTTGCCACGGTGGCTTGAGAGGTCTCACTTGATGGACAAATGGAGCAAAGACTCAAATTGGATGGGATTCATAGGAGTCAGTGATGATAATGAGTCCAGACGAATCGGACGAAGAGATATAGTTGTGGCATGGCGTGGTACGGTGTCACCATCAGAGTGGTACGAGGATTTTCAAAGGAAGTTAGACCCAATTGGGCATGTGGAAGCAAAAGTGGAACATGGTTTCTTAGCATTTACAAATCTAAAAGTGAATCAACTAGGTACAACAAGTCTAGTGCCTCAGAACAAGTTATGAAAGAAGTGAAGAGGCTAGTGCAATTCTACAATGCAAGAGGTGAAGAAGTGAGCCTTACAATCACTGGTCATAGCCTAGGAGGTGCATTGGCTCTCCTTTCTGCTTATGAAGCTGCTTCCTCTCTCCCTGGCCTTCATGTTAGCATTATATCATTCGGTGCGCCTAGGGTTGGGAACATAGCTTTTCGAGATGAGTTGCACCAAATGGGAGTAAAAACACTGCACGTTGTAGCTAAGCAAGATTTAGTCCCTCGCATGCCAGGGCTTGTTTTCAATGAAAGCCTACAGAAGTTTGATGACATAACCGGAACACTAGACTGGGTTTACACACATGTTGGAGCTGAATTGAAGCTTGATGTATGGTCATCTCCTTATCTCAAACGCGAATTTAACGTCTCAGGGTTCCATATGTTGGAGACTTACCTTCATCTAGTAGATGGGTTCCACAGTAAAACCTCAACATTTAGGTCTGATTCTAGAAGGGACGTTGCTTTGCTGAACAAGACCTGTGACATGCTTGTGGATGAACTGAGGATTCCTCATTTTTGGTACCAGCCAGCCAACAAGGGATTAGAATGCAATGAACATGGCAGGTGGGTTAAACCCAAAGAGACCCAGAAGACATAACTTTGCCTACTAGTGAAACACACACCCACGTAATTGAGATGTAGGAGAATTATGGACTTATACCATTGTTCAGTTTATAGACATAGAACTTTGTTATTCAAATTCTGGGTAGTGTAATTTTTTCTAGTAAAATATATAAATTTCCGATGAGAAATTTTCATAGCCAACATTGGCCAAACAGCTAGCACCCATCAAGGATGCACAAAAAAAAAAAAACCAGAAAAAAAGAAAAAAAAAAAGCCAATCTAGTAGGAGTATTGATTCCTTGGTCAGTACTTCAACAGATTGAGTTCATACATCAATCCAACCACAAAAGCAAACAATATCAGCTAGATAAATTAGCAGGGGAGACATGCCATATCTGAAATATGACATTGTTATGGGGAATGTTCTGGACCTTCAAGGTGATCATTATGCTCGGTAGCACCTCTATAATGTAATTTTGGCAATGACTCGATAATTAAAAATTATCAGTGAAGTCAAATTCTTAGTGCAAAGAATGTTTGATATATATTTTTCAAAATAATCTATATATACATGTTATGATGACTTGTATTCCAAGTCCGTGGATCCAAATAAATCTGATGGCATTAGTGTTTGTGTTAAAAGCAATCTTAGTAAGAGTTCAAGAAATAGTTGGACACTTTGGAAAAAATTTTGGTTGGGTCAATACATGAAGACTTCCTTATTTATTAAGACTTTGACTATATGAAATATTCTTTACATATAAAAGCCTTTGGATATCAACAATGCTACATCTACCAAATTATTTACCAACTTTTGAATCTCAAATCAGTATAAACCATAGGATCAGTAGATTCCACAAACTATCACTAACCATCCAATGGCTATCAATGAGACACATCATTTGAGATTCAAAAATTTGGTAAAAGTTTTGGTGGACACATCATTTCCTTTTGGATATTGGCAGTAGGCAGTCAACTTTATTGAAGAGCTCAAGGACGACAATTTGGTGTGTGTGATAAATTGGGTATGCTTTATTTGTTTGTGGTTCTTCTTCGAGAAAGCCAATATTGGTTAAAGAAGATTTTGGCACTATTAATCTTGTAATAGTGATATAGCAGATAGATGTTCTCTTGTAGCCTTTATTTCGAGAATTTTTTGCAATCTCCAACCTTTAATAGTGAAATTTTACCACTATATTTCATTCGTGGATATAAGCTTTCTTGTTGGGCCGAACCAAGTAAATCTTGTGTGTTCTATTTTTCTATTTTGTTGCACTATTATTTTACTTGTGGCATTGGTTCATAAAAAACTGGTATTAGAGCTATTGGTTTCGGGATGGTTGTAGCAAAATTAAAGATAGAAAATTTTGATGGTCAGAATAATTTTAGTTTATGGAAGATTAAAATGAAGGCATTGCTTCGTCAGCAGGATTTGGCAAAGGGCAATGATGGATCTCTATCCATAGAGACAGATCAGACTAAAGTAATTGATATTTAAGATAAAACACACAATGCAATTTACACCCAAAATCAAATCATAAAGACAAAGAAGAGATAAAAAAATTTAAGCACCGGTTATAGTGAAGCGAGTGGGACAGTGTTAGTGGGGGGAGACAGTGATGGTTGTGATGGGTGACAATATTTGTTGGTGATGGTTGTAGCTGTGAGTAACAACGGTGATAGTGGTGGTGATAGAGTTGATGGTGGGACAGTGGCGGTGGTGATAAGGTGGCGATAGTGGTGGTGATGGTAGTGGGGATGGTGGTTGCAAGGAGGGGGTGTTAGTGGGGTGGCTGCAATGGTGATGGCTACGACGATGGTGGTGGTGGGGCAATGGTGGTGATTATTATGGAAGAGGTAGTGGTGGGGTGGCAACAGCGGTAGTGGTGGTGCTTGGGATGGGGTGGTGGTAGCGTGGCTGTAATGGTGGTGGTGGGGCGATGGGGGTGGTGGTAGTGGTGGTGGGATGGCAACAGTGGTGGTGGTAGTGGTGATGATGGTGGGCGTTTGGTGATAGTAGTGGTGGAGGTGATGAGACGATTCCAAACACTATTTTCAAAAAATAGAAATAATTATGAAAAGTTAGAAGTTTTAGAAACATTTTTAAAAATTATCACAAACATATACTTAGGAGCCTATTTTCCCTATTAAATTTGAGGTATTAGTATTAACCGTCAGATTAACTTTAAAGTAAAAATTAAAGAGATCTCAACCGTGAAAAATAAAAGTCATTTTGTTTATATTTTGAGATTTGAATTGTATTGTACTTTATTATATAGATTATTTGCAACTTTGATTTATTTATAGACATAAGGTTATATTATAAACAAGAAAAAGAGAGGAGATTATTCCAAATAAATTTTTATGATGGCATGAACCACTTTTGAGTTTTGTGTTCAAAAATAACTTTTTCAATGTCATTGCATAAAAATTAAATTTAATAATTTTTTTATAAATAAAAATTTATCATTGACAATGACAATTGAATTAAATTTTTGTCTGTTATTGTTGATCACCTCAAGATAAAATTTTGATTCCGCTAAAACTTGATATGTATAAAAATTGCTTATTTTATTACGTCACTTTATTTTATTAATTTTGTTGGAACAAAATAGTTTGTAGGTAAAAAAAATTTGATTTTTGGTTTATTGAACTTAAATTAAAGCGAGGCTCGCTTATCATTTTGAGTAAAAAAAATTTTATTTGTATTCTATTTCGTGAAGAGAATAACAAAGTATATCCCAATTTGTTTTAAGGATTGAACCCCAAAGGGCACCACATTTTTGTGGATGAGAGAGAACCTAGATAGACTTGGGTTCGATAACATGCGCGCTGTTGCCTGCTCCGGCCTCCCTAGTGTTGGTGTGGGTGTGGATTAGGTTGGATCAAATCTGAAATTTGTGAATAAAATTATTTTGCTAAATAGGTCCTTAATTTATTACCCAAATTTAATTTTTAATATCCGTTGGAATTCAAATTCACACTGGTTCGAATTTGAATTATTTCGTGGCTGTTCATCAATAGGCATCTCTGGTGAACTTTCCTGGATTGCATCTGATCAGTGGTGCTTATAGTGAACAATCACCTCTGCATCTATAAATATGTCCATATTCATTCAACATTAATAACTTGCACATTCTGTAATACATAGAGTCATTATTTTCAAACTCTTCATCATTAAAATGTCTATTTTTTAGAGTACGAAATATAATTTCTGGTTCGGTGTGCAAACAAATTGTATTACTTCTTCTTATTATGTGATCATTATATCATGAGAAACATATGCTCAAGAATCCATAAAAATCGGAGTGGAGACAAAATTTGTCCTAAAGATAATGTATCAAACACTATCTTTGACCAAATTTTTTATCTGTTCATGGTTGTCAATTGTATGAATTTTTTTTGTTATTAATATTTTATTCTTAATTGCATGATTCATATCAAAAATTCAATAAGTATTAAGCATATATGATATCAACCTCTCAATTTCCATAAACGGTCACAGATATAACAAAAGGAAATATAAGTCTCAAAATTATTTGTAGATATCATATCCATATATATATATATATATATATTGTAATTATCATAGTGCTGTGTATATTAGTCTTCACCGGTTGTCGTGTTTGCGTTTTTAAAAGTAATGTTATTTAGATTCCAAAAATTAACACGTCAACGATCACAACTATTGAAATCCAAGTAACATTACTCATGTTTTCTTAAGGATGTCTATTTCATTTGCCAAACATGCTTTGAAAGACTTACTATTATAAGTATAACAATATATTTTAGGATTCCCAATGTGGTCCATTTCACACATGAGAACAAGAAAATATTAGTGATTGCGTGTTGAAAATCCAAACCTAGTTTGCCTATTGGTCCGAAGCCTAAAAATAAAGAAAAGAAAAGTTGATGGCTACAAGAAGTCTTGACGAAGAGTTGACGATGATAGAAATACGAAATTATTCTTCTCCTCAAACAAATCTACGCAAATGCCACTGCTAAATTGGGGAGATTATAAAATAGGTTTTTGTTTTTTTTTTTTTTTTGATTTCTTGGTGAAAAGTTGTTTCCTTGGTAAAATCCATTGGATGGTCGAATGAAAAAAAAGTTAATTGATACATTGAATAATTGACTAAAAGTTGATTTAGTTGTGACGGTAAAATTATTTTATTTTCAAATGAATGTCAATATTCTAGGTCGTAGAAATAATTTTTCTGTGTGTAAGGAAAAGACTACGTACATTTAATTTTACTCAAATTTCAATAATGACTGAACCATGGTCCACTAGGGCGGATTTTTTTAAATATATTTATACAAACTATGAATGTAACTGAGCATAGAATAAATGAGTAAAGTGATTCATAAGATATACTTGTATTTGATACTTAAAACGACTAATATTTTTTAGATATATTATGGAAGGGAGTATTACACACTAGGTGTTTTGCAACAACAAATTCTATCTTACATACTCCATGATAATTGAACTTGACCTATATTATAGGAATTTAGTTTGAAAACGTAAAGATGTGACTTCAATGTAATTATTTATTACCGAGGAGATAACAAGTTGACTTCAAAAATGATGGTCTTGAATTTCAGACATGCACAGTATCAGTTTAGAAAATTTTGAAAGAATCACGACGTTTTTACATCTTTGAGCCAACCTCGATGTTTCCTTAGCCAGTCTATGGGACAAAACTTTCTACTTTTTAAACTGCACATAACCTTATAAATATACTCTCAATCTCAACACTCGCCGACCAAACTCTCTCTCTTCTCAGCTACCAAAATCCGAAGCCTCCCTCTCCTACTGAACTCTCAGAATCTTCAACCTCAACTTTCTCGGCTACCAAAATCTCCCAAGCCTCTCTCCTAGTGAACTGCTTGGGACTCAAAATGGCCACCATGAAAGCAATCCAACCTCACCTCCCATCCACCATCGCCTACACCAATGGGCTTCGGAAAATTTATGCCAATCAAGAAACTGCAATCGATTTTCGCCCACATCAAAAAACTTCTAGCCGGTCC